GTTTATTTAGTTGAGTTGTAATTCAACATCTTTTAGTTTTTTATTAAAGTTGATCACTAAAGTTTGTGATTGAGAGAAAGTGAGAGGGGTACTCATATTTTGGGGTGACCTAAATAGAAAGTCATTGAGTAGTATTAGGAAAGGTTGTGAATAAAGTGTTTTCATGTAAGACTAAGTGTACTGATACTATTGATAGTGAACTTTCTTTCTTGGGTTTGATTCTACCCAAATGTAGGTGTGGTTTGCACTGAATTAGATTAACAATTATTGTGTTCTTTATTTCTTTTCTTCTTCATTATCTTGTATAAGTTAAACTTTCATAACTTGGCTGTACACATTATTTCAGACATCGTATCCAACATCTCTTCCCAAGAACAAGTTTTCAATTGACATCAGAGCGGGAACATTGTTCTATTTAGGTGAGCTCTAGTGAAGTAATTTTATGTTCAAAGGAACAATACCAAAGATGAAGGATCACTCAGTAAACCACATGTATTGGATGACACTATTTATGATTATTGGAAAGCCAAGATAATTTATTTTCTCAAATCCATGGACAACAAAACATAGAAGGTTGTTGTAAAAGGTTGGAAACACCTTGTGATTACTTATCAAGATGGAACATCAACCTTAAAGCCATAAGATGGGTGTAGTGATACTTAAGATAATGAAGCACTTGGAAACTCCAAATCTTTGAATGTTGTTTTCAATGGTATTGACAAAAAACATGTTTAGATTGATCAACACATGTATTGAAGCAAAATATGCTTGGGAGATTCTCAAAACTTCACATGACAGCACATCCAAGGTTAGAATGTCAAGGTCGCAACTCCTTACTACAAAGTTTGAGAATATGAGAATGAATGAAGATGAATCAATTTATGACTTTAAAGTCAGACTGTGTGGCATTGCCAACACTTGTTTTGCATTAGGAGAGATAATGTATGAAGAAAATATTTCTAGAAAAATCCTCAGATATCTTCCTAAGAAGTTTGATATGTAGATCATAGCTATTTAAGAAGCTCAAGACATAAGAAACTTCAAAGTTGATGAACTCATTGGTTATTTACAAATCTTTGAGATTACTTTATATGATAGGTCTGAAAAGAAGAACAAAAGTATAAAATTTATTTCTAATTCTGAAGAGGAAGAAAATCACCGTGAGAAAGAAGAAATTCAATAAGATGTTATAGCTCTTCTTGTTAGAAAGTTTAAGTGATCCTTGAAGAAACTAGACAAAAAATGGAGGAAAAATGTCCCAGATAAGGTGTTAAACATTAGTCCCCAGAGCAAGAGCAAGGATTAAGACAAACATAATATTGGAAAATGATCACAATGCTATGAATGTGAAGGGTATGGTCACATTAAAGTTGAATGTCCTACTTTTCTAAAGAAATAGAAAAGGGGTTGTTAACCAGTTGGTATGAATCTGATGATGAGAGTGAAGAAAAACAACTAACAATATGATGGATTTTACTGGAAAATATGACTCCTATAGTGAGTCTAGTGATGAAGACATATCATTTGAAGAACTAGCTGAAACCTTTAGACTTTTGCTCATTCAGTGGAAGGAATGCTGCTTGAGAGAAGAGAAACAAAAGAAGACCATAAGTGCTCTACTTCTGGAAAAAGAGATGCTTGGCTCAACCGTTGCAGGTTTGGAAGAAGAAGTTACATTGTTAAAGTCCAAACTTGACAATATGACAAAATTTGTACGTATGTTGAACAATGGTTCTGATATGCTAGATTAGATCTTTGAAGTTGGGGAGAAATCTATAAATATGAAGGCTATAGGGTTTGACTATAGTTCCATGAAAAAAATGTCAAATTCCCACTAAGAAGTTTGTTACTCCTGAGAAGAAAACTGAGTTTCTGATGGAGGAACATGTGTCCCAGCATCCTGCTCAACATGTGTGTTAGACGATGTGATCAATCTAGAAGGAGTGTTGAATAGATCATTTTAAAAAATTATTTGTGCTTTTTAAATTTTTTTCTCAGAAATATATGTGAAAGCTCCTGGAATCTCCAATCGTCTAAACAATCCTCTATTGAAAATATCGGATATGCGTAACCGTATGGGATAGGATGACAAAATAAGAATCAATACGTTTTGCTCAATTGGTTAATCACTTAAACATCCTTAATGAGTATATGAATTACTTCGAATGAGTTGATTGAGATAAAGCTAAACACAATGAATAATGTATGGATGAATCAATTTGTCAAACGCCTTATGTGCAAAGCACCTTAGGTTTGATTTTACTAAATTGTGGCGGTGAGTTTTCTTAGGTATCAATCACATGGATTATTACCAATGTTGTGAAATGATCTCAACACACCACAATTTCAGTGCAAGCAAATTTGACAATTTAATTCCCACAAATTATAGTAGTCAAGTATGGAAGTAAAGAAAAAGAAGAAGAACACACGACTTGTTAAGGCAGTTCCCCTTGTCGTCCTCGCGTAGGGTATGTCTGCCCCCAATTCTAGAATCTATAATTGAGATATTTGATATTAAGATGCAAATGTTATAAGATAAGAGATAGTTTACAATAAAAACAAACCAATGTTGTTGATGTAACAGTCTTCTTCCCTTTCCTTGGTTTGAGTCAAACCAAATGCCAAATTCTTCGAACAAACCTCCGGTTACCGCTACTTGATTTTCAAGAACTCTTATTTTGTAATACTTTCACTCGACTAATTTCGATCGAAAGAAATTTGAACCCAAATCTTCCTTCACAATCCCCCGGTTACAGCTACTTGATTAAGCAAACCAACTGTTTCTTAATCCTTTCACTCAGCTGAATTTGATGAAGTAAATACTTGTGCAAAAACCCTGCACCAATTGGAATCTTGGAGGAGAAAATCCAAAAGATTTTATTCAAGAACAACCCACAATTCCTCAACCCAAATCTGAATTCAATATTTGATTTGAACGTTATCACCATAACACTTTTCTTGAATCAACGACCATGATTATGTGTAGATGTTGATTTTTGAGAAGAGAGGATGAAGATGATGAGCACTATGTGTATCTTTCACTAGTTCTTGTTAACTGCTCAAAAGGAATCAAAACTCTATTTATATGTGTTAGTAAAACAACTAATATTTAAGAAAAAAGAAAATAAGACAAACAAAATTTTGAGTATGTTAAGTGGGCGGTCGACCGCTCCATAGGGTTGGGTCGGTGCAACATAACCCGCACCTAGGAGACGAGCCAAACAGCTTGAATGCGTCGACCGCACCAGGGTGTTGCGTCGATGCAACCTTCAATTTTATTGACCATTAGGTTGAGTCGACCAAGGGGTCGGTGCAACACAACCCGGGAGAAGCACAAAGCTTTGAGTCGATTGGAGCTAGTTTGCGTCGATGCAGGCTTCATTTTTCTTGCCAAAAAGGTTATTTTCATCCAAGCTTGCATCCCATACTTTGTCACAAGTACATTTTATGTAGCACACATGTCATTGAGGATAGGAGGGGTTTTGACACCATGAAAACATGAATCTTTCCCTCACAACGTGTACCCTCATAACTGAGGAAACAAGAACTCCTCTAGAAGGTGTCACCACTTGGGTAGATATCATCATCTAATAACCTTTTGTTATCCTCAGGCTCATAGTCAGTCATAGCTCTTCAAGAAGACATGGAAGAAAACTCAAGTAAAGAAAGAGTGGAAACCCAAGGAAACTATCACTTGTCTCATATCTCCTACATCTCTTAGAGTTTTCTTAAGATAAGATTGGTATTTTGATGATGGTTATTCAACGCACATGATTAGAGATGATAACTCTCTTAAAGAGTTAAATCCATAATCTAATAGCTATTCCACTTTTGGTGACGGAACAAGAAGAAAAATCAAGGGCATAGGCAAACTGGTCTATCTAGGTCTCCCTCGCCTTGATGATGTGTTGCTGGTAAAATAATTGACTGTAACATTGATCAGTATAAGTCAACTAGGTATAAATGTAAACTTTAATAAGTTTGAATGTAAACTTTAACAAGTCTGAATGTATTGTCTCCAGCAAATATCAAGAAATGATAATGAAGGGTTCAAGATCTAAAGGAAATTTCTGTATGTGGATATTCATCCCTCGTCATGTGTGATGTCCAAGGTTGATAGGAAGATTATATGTGAAGAAGGAAAAATCTGTGGAGATTCTCAAACAGGCAAGATGTCCCACAAGACGCTTCAACATCCTACCTTCTTAGAACCTTTGGAGTTACTTCTTATGATCCTATTGAATCCACACAATTGAAATCCCTACGTGGAATAAATATCTTCCTAAGTGTAAAGAATAATAAAAGAAAATCAATTATGACTTTAGTTTTGGTGATATGTAAGAAGAGATGTTGGAACATTGTGTTCAACAAATGATGTTTTAATGTGAGATGAGTCTTGTAGTATAAATAACCAATTTTATTGATCTTCAAGTAAAACAAATAAGAGAAATAATTTATGTATCTCATATCATGTTTAAACTGGAAAATCAAAAGGGCACTATTGGAAATTGCTTCAATGAGAACTTGTTACTTTCATTCCTAAGAAAATGTGCAAATGGAAACTCTCTCTCTCTCTCTCTCTCTCTCTCTCTCTCTCTCTCTCTCTCTCTCTCTCTCTCTCTCTCTCTCTCTCTCTCTCTCTCTCTCTCTCTCTCTATCTCTCTCTCTCCCTCTCTGTCTCTCATATGATTATTACTAAAAGAGAAATAAGGCTCATTATTCCTATTTTAGTTCATTTCAAAAACTTCTTTGCGCTCACACACTTGAAGAATGATACCTCTCTCGTTTACTCTTAAACTGTTCATCTCTCTCTATATATATATTTCTCTCTCCTCTCTCTCAGAGTTATAAAATTCATTCAAAAATGAGTAAAAAATCTAATATTTCTAAGACCCATGATCCCAAACATGTCACCAACTCCTATGGAGTCAAGATGTTTGGATTTCAAATAGGGAAGAAAGAGACACCAAAGAAAAATAGGGTTTCTGAATTTAGCGACAATGATGATGAACCTGTCACCAAAACTTCTGCAAATGTTTTTTTACTACTCATGTTTCAACAAAAGGACAAAGTGTACTGCCACCAAGAAGAATAAATCATCTGAAAATATTAGTACCTCTGAAAAGGAATCCTTTATGTATGAATCTATGAATACCGCTAAGGAACCTGATTCCAATTCCATTAGGAAAAACATTGTTCATGTTGAAACCAATGTTGAGGAACCGCATGTGGAACCACATGTTGAATCACATGTTGATTCACATGTTGAACCAAATGTTGAAACATGTGTCCCAACATCTGGTTAACCACAGGTTAAACCCCATACTGAACCGGGTGTGAATATTCATGTTTTTAATACTTATGTGAATGAGATATTAGATGGAAGTAGTGATTCTTCTGAAGATTTGAGGAATGAAAATCCTCAAAATCAATAGGATGACATTCACAGTAAAAGTAACGAAGGAGAAAATAAGGATAATGACGCTCCCATTGTCAACATAATGAAAGGATTATTAAAGAGAAGACTGCTCATGTGAAGAATAAAGAAGTGATTGAGATTAATGAAGAACCAGTTGTGACAATTTTGAAAAGCTAAGCCATGTCTATAATTTAGAAAGCTAAAGATAAAAATAAGAAAGTTGATACTCCAAGATCTTCTATTAAGAATGTTGGAATTGTGAAGTAGAAAACTCATATGTCAAGTCCTTTGTAGAAGAAGAAGAGAGTAGATGAAAAGGCTATTGAAAGAAACTCTCTTAAGAGGAAACTCGTGCCATCAAGTGACTAAGAGACACATTTTGAAGAATATTTTCTAGAGATTGTGCCCTCTTCTAGAAGAAAGATTGGATGAAGAAGAGTTCAAGTTAATATTCCAGGTGCCCCTTTTGACAATGTGTCATTCCACTTTGAAGGAAGTGTGTAGAAGGGGAAGTATGTGTTCCAAAAACGAGTTTCCCATGAAAAGGAACATAGAAAATATGCTTTTGAGTTTCATGAAATCATGGATATGTTGAAGGATGTTAGATCAATGAAGACTATTTCAGACATTGGACCCTGCTTTAAGAAACTAGTCAAGGAGTTCATTGTTAACTCGTCCAATGAATGCAATATTGAAGGTAGTAAAGAATTTAGGAAGGTGTTTGTGATAGGTTTCTATGTGAATTTTTGTCCCGAGAGAAAAAATGAGTACTTGGGCAGAAGCAAGATTTCAGAAGCTGGTGAGGTACCATCAATGGACAAGATAGCCAGAGCAATAACTTCAAAATAATTCAAACAATGGCCAAAGGAATGATTAATCCCTTATGGAAGTCTAAGAGTGAAGTTTTCTCTAATGAATAAGATAGGTGCATCAAATTTGGAACCCACTAATCAAGTTCAGGCATCACCTCTATCTTGGCCAAGTTGATCTTTCAAATTAGAACCAAGTCTAAACTGAACTTTGTAGAATGTGTATTTAATTATACCATGAAACATGTTGGCTCATATGTTTTAAAGCTTATAATAGATTTTCCTTGCTTAATCATTGGGATCATATTGAACCAACATCGTTATATTGTGCATGTTAAAGAAATGAAGAACAAGAAACCAGGACCATTGACACTTGACTACATGTTGTTTATTGGAGCACATGTCCTACACATTGTGGTGCCAAGAAACCAAAGACAAAATAAAGACAAAAAGTCTTCTTCTGTATCAAAAGACACTAAAAAGGATGTGTTACATGAACTTGTGGAAGTTTTAAAGGCTCTACAAGCAACAATTAGTGCAAGTACCATCAGGAAGAAGAAGGTGGATGAATTGATCAATCTGATGACCAATGAGAAGAAAGGTTAAAAAGAAGAAGAAGTTTATAGTGAAAAAGAGGATATGAAAGTGAAGAGGAGGAATTTGGAAGTGTAGAGGAGGAGGTCAGTTTTGAAGATTAAGTTGCACAAGATATGAATTTCAATCAGGATGTGCTATACATCTGGTATGCCATGTGGTTTATGATGTGGATTGGATGTTGATTAGCTATAATTTTTGTTTTAATTATATTGTATTTTTGGCCCTTGTATATGCACACACTTTTATGGTTGTTGGTTTTGTAATGATCATTTATCATTAATAGTTATTTTACATTATTTCATTGATCTAAGATGCACATGATATGTATTTTTGACCAAATGTTCTAGCATTTTATTTAACACTCATGCTCAAGATTGATGTCTACTCCTAACTATTTTGTTAACTGACTGTGCTAGTATCTTTTCCAAATTATGGCAAAAAGGGGGAGTAATAGTGTGTGGTAGAGTTGTGTGACTACTAACTAGTGTTGTAATATAAGTAATGCAGTGTTGCTTATATGTGCTCACATGCTGGAGCATCTGAACTAGCATCTGGCCTTTTTAGAATGTGTGAGTTGATTTACTGATTATGTGTGAACTCTAATGTTCTGATGTTGGGTGTTAGTAGTATCTTATAACTTATGAATTGTGACGACTAAGTGTGTGCATGCATGACTAATGGATAATTATGACTGATTTTGGGAGCATCATTGTGTGAATGGCTGACTGATGTGCAACAACACATTCAACTATTAATGTTTGCTACAAACTTCTACCACTGTTGTTTTCTATGATTGTTTATGGTGTGGTTATGTAGCTCATTTTGAGTTGTTTTTGGGGTCTTATCCTTTGTACATCTTACAAGTCTTGAAAGAGTTATTTTTCCAAAATTTACCAATGGAGGAGATTGTTATTCCTTTTGGATTGGATAAATTATCCAAAAAAACATGAAGTGTACAATATATTTTGGTGAAGAAAGGACACATGTGGGACATGTTGTTCAAGCAGGCGTGGCACATCTTGCCCCTATTGCAGTTCAAGCTTTGGCGCTTGTTCTGTGTTTTCTGAGCATTCTTTTGGATTTGTTTCTGATTGATTAGTTGTTATCTTTTATTAATATAGTTAATTATACTTGTTTGATGATTTATTAAGATCAAATTTAAAAATTTGGAAATTTAATTTTTGAATTCCAATCAAATGAAATCTTGTTATGGAGATGTTTTAAAAACCAAATCTTAACCAAATAGCCACTTTATCTGCTGATCAAATCTTATGGCCATTGGAGGAAAGCCTAACACATGATTTCTATTTAATGATACTCAATTCAATCGTTGAAGAATATGTTCTTAATTAAAGATCTTTAGTGTTAGGGTTTATATTTGAGTCTTTGGTTGCATTTCTTGTACACCACACTTGTGCCAACATTCATATCATAAGGCATAGTGATGGCTTGTTTAGTTAAGTTGTAATTCAACATTATTTAATTATTTATTAAAGTTTATCACTAGGGCTAGTGATTAAGAGAAAGTGATAGGGGTTCTCATATTTAGGGGGAGTCCTAAATATAAAATCGTTGGGTATTATTAGGAAGAGGTTGTGAACAAGGTGTTTTCATGTAAGACTAGGTGTACTAATACTATTGATATTGAACTTACTTTCTTGGGTTGGATGCCACCAAGATGTAAGTGTGGTTTGCACTGAATTAGTTTAATAATTATTGTGTTCTCAGGCATTGTGTCCAACATTTGTCCCCAAGAACATAATTTCAACAATGTCACAAATGTAGGATTGGAAATAATTCATACTTTTTGTCCAATGGTTCCCTATTGAATATTTTTTATTTCCCTATCAAAAAATTCTTGTTAAATCAATTTGTTTTAGAAAGGGAATTCAATAAAACTGTTGATCGTGTACATGCTTTAAATATTGACCATTGATCTTCGGACATAAATGATGATTGTTGGCCTGAGAATCCAAAGCAATGTCTTTTCTTTAATATATATATTAAAAGTAAACTCTTTAAACATCATCCTTTTTCTATATTGTTCAACTCCTATTGTCCATTTCACCATCCTTGTAAAAATCTCGATATCTTCCTATCACACCTTATATACAAGTATTTTCTCCTTTCTCATTCTTCATTTCATTTCCTTTCTTCCAAAATTAGTTTTACTTAGGGAGTGTGATAAGAATGAGAATGTAGTTGAATTGAAAAATTATAAAGAGGAAATCAAATTGTAGGAGAGTTGTATAAAAATTGTGAGACGAGCAAATGAGAGTGTTGATTAGGACATAGTTGAGAAAGATGTTCGAGAGTGATGGTTGCAGTAGTAATAATAGTGGCTCAAAGTGATACAAAGACTAAGGACTAAGGTGTGTATTGTTGAAAGCCTTTTGCACAAAAAGTTATGACAAATGACAATTATGAGTTTAGTGGAAGGAAGGTGTTAGATTTTGCAAGATGTTGGACCAAATGTCTTGATATATTGATACAACATTGTAGCATGACTTTTTTGGTAGACGTGTATCTTGTGATTCAAAAGATTTGATTTATGTTTCGTGTAGACCAAGTTGTGCATATGAATATTTGACTCTCTGAATATTTGTTTCAAGTGAAAGATCTGATCTGATTTGTTTTGTTTCTGAAGATTGGAAGTCGTAACATTCAAGGAAACATTATATTTTGCACCAGAATATTCTGCTGAAGATCTGATTTAATTTGCAGATTGTTTATCCAAATTTGATCTTCAAGCCTAATTTGTTTCTATGGATATAAGAAGAAAGACTCTAAACCTAAGAAAACAACAAAGTTGCATGTGTAAAAGCGTCAATTAGGGTTTCGTCTGTTCATTGTTCATTGTGTTCCATTCTTGTATCTCATTGATGCTAGAGTTGTACTGTTAGTTGAGTTGTAATCGGGAATCACTCATAAGATTTTAAGTAACACTTGATTCAGTTTATTGGATTATGTCTCCTTACTGATTGTTTTGTGTTTTATTACTGGTTGTATGATTGAGGGGAAGTGAGAGGGGTCTCATATCTAGGAGAGTCTTAGATAGAAATACCAAGGGCAGTAATTAGGTGCGAAGTTTTTAAAGACAAAGGTTGTTTAGAACTCAAACTAATATTTTTATAGTTAATTTTTTTCCTGGCTTGGATTCCCCAAGATGTAGGTGACGTTGCACCAAAATGGGTTAAAAATTGATCTGTGTTATTTACTTCCTGCAAATTACTTTAAAATTGTTTATTGTTCCATCTGTTGTTATGATGTCTTAACATTGTGCTCGATATTGCATTTTTTCATCCTGGTGTTGTAACATCGTATAGCATATATATCTTGTTGTGCCAGAATTTCAATTGGTATCAGCAGGAACCCTACTCTGTTTTTGGGTGAGTTCCAGGGAAGATATTTTCTGGCACTATGGACAAGGAAGGAGGAAATTCTAATAGAACACTCATTCTAGATGGTACCAACTATGATT